GCAAGGGTTTACCACTAAGCCAAATTGCCAACCCTGCTATTTGTTTTCTTAATGAGAACAATTCTGAATTTGGTAATTGATCTCAATGGTGTTTTGACTTGCATTCTCCTAATGACTAATACAACATCTTTTGGGTACAAGGGCAACAAGTATCTTTGTGTCTGAGTTGAAAAACTGTTTGCTTAAAAGGTTTTCCTTGGCTGGAGATATGGCATAGTGGTTAAGAATACTGGCTGTCCTTGCAGAAGACCCAGGTTCAAATCCCAGCAGCTATATGGGGGCTCACAGCCATCCATAACTACAGCCCCAGGAGATCTGATGCTCCTTCTGGGCTCCAAGGGCACTGCATACATACATACATACATACATACATGTAGGCTCACATCCATACACACAAAAATTTAAGAAATAAACATTTGATTTTAATTTTTAGGCATGGTGACATACGCATTTAATCCCAGCACTCAGGAGGCATAGACAGGCGGATCTCTGTGAGTTCAAGGCCAGCCTAGTCTTCATGCCGAATTGCAGATCAACCAGGGCTACATAATGAAACCCTGTCTTAAAAAAAACAGTTTTCCTGGATTTGTATTTAGAATTTGAGCGCAATTACTAAGAACTTCCCAGCTTCTATGTAAACAATTGGAACCAGGAAACTGAAATCAAGTCTTGGCTCCTGTGAGCCTACAGATTCGGGGAAAGCTGCTTAACGTCTCAGAGGTGCACTCAGTCCAACTAGAAAGTGAGACAAAACCCAGTGAGAGCAGAGTAGCCACGCCGCCCACTGCATGCCTGGCACAGCTGAGCACATAGGAGTGTCTGGAAGCTTGCCTGCATCTGCCTCACCCAACCTCAGACTCCCTCCTCCTCCCAGGAAGGAGCGTAGCTCTTGGTCCAGTGCCACTCCTGTCCCTGTGCCACTTATCTGGAGTCAGGAGGCTTCTGAGCTTACTGTCTACGCCATTCTCTGAAGCGTCATAGTATACACTAACATCTCAAAAAGCAAGAGCACAGCCCCATGTTCCTCGTTGGAGAACAGGGTAGGGAACGGAATCCCTGTGCTGTGCTCTTTGCTGTTGCTGTTTGTGGGTGGTTTTGGTTTTTTTGTTGTTTTTGTTTAGTTTGTTCAGTTTTTGTTTTGTTTTGTTTTTCAAGACGGGGCGTCTCTGCGTAGTCCTAGAAGTGCCGGAACTGGCTGAGTCAAGTAGAATGGCCTTGAACTCACAAAGACCTGCCTGCTTCTGCCTCCCCAGTGTAGGTGGTTAAAGGCATGGGCCACCACCTCCCAGCTTTTGCTTTGTTTATTGAGACAGGATCTTGCCATGTATGTAGCACAAACTGGCTTCAGACTTGCTCTGTAGCCCAGGCTGGCCTCAAACTTGTGATCCTTGAGCCTCTTAATGTACATTTGAAGGTTTTCGGTTTTGTTTTTAGTTTCCTTAGTACAGAGAGTGTGTGCAACATGCATGATGGTCACAGAACCGTGTGATGTGATCTTGATTTCATTAAGCAACTTCAGTTTCAGCGTCAGCTACTGGGGTATTTACACTAGACAATGACGAACAAATAAATGTATTATTCGACAATTTCACACATGCGTATAATGCTATCTGGTCAAACTCTCCTCCCATGCTCTCTTATCCCTCCTCTAACTCCTGCCAAGCCCCGCCTCTTGCCAGCAAGTCCCCCTCCCACTTTCATATTGGTTTGAGTTTAGCTAGGACAGCCTTCATGAGCATGGGTGTGGCGCTGTCCACTGGAGTATGGGTGACTCCAAGCATCTACACCACCGAAGACAGGACTCCCTCTCTCCAGGAGCCCTCCACTAGACAATTGCTTCCCAGGAAGGAGAAGGTGACAGATACTCTGTGCTGCGTTTAGTCATTACTCTCATTATGCATGGCTGAGTTTTTTTTTCACTGTTTTTTTTGGGGGGGGCGGGGCGGGGGTAGGGAGTGGCCACCGTACCACAGTCCAAGAATAGGGATCAGAGAACAGCTTGCAAGAGTCCATTATCTTCCCACCGTGTGGATCCTGAGGGGAGAACTCAAGGGGTCTGTCTTGGCAGCCAGGCCCTTACCCACAAAGCTATCTCACCCACCATTCGGTTTTTATGCTCCAGATGGAGAACTAATGTTGGATACTCACATAAACACCCTAATATACACATCGCTGCTATAAAATGGGTTTATGGACTTTGCACATGGAAACACCTCATGCTTATTATTTGCCCTGGAATTTTATCTTGAAAATCAGTGCGGCGTGAACCAAAAACAAAGACCGTGTTTATCAAGCTATTGCTAAAAGACTGGAAAAACTGGTTATGGATGCAGCTTTGTAGAATTTGGGGGTCAGGAGAAAGATGGGCTTACACATGGGCTCTGCCATTTGCCAGGTGTGGGTTCGTGCCTGAACCTCAAAGCCCTCGCTTCTTCTCTGGGAAGCAAGAACACAGTAATCCTAACTTCTTAAGGCTCAAGTAGATTGACTAAGAATAATGGACCGATGAGCGATAAGGGAAACAGTCTGGAGTCCCTGGTTACAGCCAAGAGCTTAACAAAGGGAACTGGAGGACCCAAACTTAAAGAGAAAACTTGTGCTTTCGGTCCCAAGCTACGTGACCTTAGTGAAGACCCAACCTCTTCGCACGTCAGCCAGCCTGTATCAGTGGTATTATTTACAGGTCTCGGAGGGCTGACCAAGTCCAGTGCCTCGGGTCTGTCTCACAGCCTCATTCACAGACGCCCTTATCTCCAGAAGTCAGCCTTGGCCAAGCCACCCAGGACTAGAACCTGGGTCCACAGTTACCTGTATCTGGTTAGCCTGGCACCTACCTCATCTGGGAAGGTTAAAGGAAAGAGTCACTTTGAAGTGTTGTGTTGGTGAGCCTTTATTAAAATAAGCAACTAACAAAAAAGGCTTCTGATTTGTCCTTAGAGCCCGGGAACTCTAAAAGAAGCAAGTGTTACACTTTTTAAAACTCTTTTCTTGGGGCTGGAGAGATGCCTCAGTGACTAAGAGCCCTGACGGATCTTGCAGACAGCCCTGGTTTGATTTCCAGCACCCACATGGCAGCTCACAAGCATCTGTAACTCCAGTCCCAGGGCATCTGGTTCACCAGGCACATGCTCCCAGAACACCCACATACATAAAACAATTGCTTTAATCTCCAAAATTAATAAAGTAATCCCTTTCTTATTGAAGCTTCATCTTGACCTCAATTTCATTAAACAGACCCAATAAACAACTAATTTAAAAAAGAAAGAAAACATACACACACACAATTAATTACAAAACAGATACGTGATGTGTGATTCCCTGCTGTATGCTGTGAATACCATTGGTTAATAAAGAAACTGCTCTTGGCCAATGGCTTAACAGAATATAGCCAGACTGGAAAAGATGGAGAGAGAGGGTAGGCAGAGTCAGTGAGATGCCAAGTAGCCACTGCCAAAGGCGACAGACTTTACCAATAAACCATGAGCCTCAGGGTAAAGTATAAAATAATGGAAATATTTTATATTTTATAAAATTTAAGATATAAGAGCTAGCTAAAAATGCATAAGCTAATAGGCCAAGCAGTGTTTTAATTAATAAATTAACACAATTTCTATGTTTGTTTGTTTTTTTTCTGTTCTGGGCAGTCGGGAAGGAACAAGCAGCCTCCAACTACAGATGTGTGCAGGCCACTCTGTGTCAGCTCTACACTTCTGGAAGCCCACAGCAACAAAAGTCTGCACTTCTAAAGAGACAAAACGTGTGCATGTCCGTGTGTGTACGTGTGTGTGTGCGCACGCATGCACACATTCACACAAGAGGCGCGTGTGAAAGCCAGAGGCAGCTCTGAGAACTGTTTCTTGGGCTCTGTTCACTTCTTTCTTCTCCTCCTCCTCCTCCTCCTCCTTTTTTGAGACAAGTTGTCTCAGGAGCCTATAACACTCTCAGAAGCCAAGGCTGACTCAGGCCCCAGGAATCAGCCTCCCTAGGCACTGAGGTTACCTACCAATGGGAGATAACACAGGTTGTTGAGTTCAGGAATTTGAACTCAAGAGTCTCCTGCTTTGACCGAAGCTCCAAAACATTTATCTCACAAATGAATTTTCAGGTAACTATTTTGGGTAAACATAAAGGGTCAATAAAAATCCCCATAAACTAATACATTCAAGATAGAACCTTGGTCAGATTCTAAGCACCATATACTTCCGCTAAATTTTCTTGGTCCCTTTTTAAAGATACCTTGGAAAAATGAAACTGAGCTCTTCCGTAAAAGCTTGCTAGTCAGACAATTGGCTGATATTCTCAGGTACCTCCATTGGAATAACAACCAGATTTTTGTTGTTGTTGTTGTTTTGTTTTGATTTGATTTTTTTCAAGACAGGGTTTCTCTGTAGCTTTGGAGCCTTGAACTCACAGAGATCCACCTGCCTCTGCCTCCCGTGTGCTGGGATTAAAGGCGTGTGCCACCACTCCCCGGCTTCAACCCAGGCTTTTAATTTCTTATATTTTACCACCAAAGCATTTCTTTCTGGGTCTGTTAAGAAAAGCAGTGGTGAAGAAAATGAGCTTCACCTTGGACGCTCCGGGGACGTCTTTCCCCTTTACTCTGGTGTGTCCAGGAAGCCACTCCAACTTTTTCCCTCCCCTTTATCTCTGGTTAGACTCCCAGTGCAACTTAATGACAGAGCGCCTAAGAGTAAAGTTCAGGTCCGATGGAGCGCATTCATTTGTCCAGGCAGATCTGAGTCCCAGTAGGAGCTGGGGCACGACCTACCCTGAACGACTGGACCTAGGCAGACTCCTTAACAAAAGAAAGTCTAAGTCGCCCGACCCCTGTGACCCACAATCCGGACCTGAGCGGAGAGTTCCAGCCGGCCCCAGGACTGCCCTTTTCCTTTGAGTTCTCTCTTCCCCGGGAGGCGCTGGGGACCGACCCCACCCTGCAAGCGATTCGCGGTTCCGGGACTGCGCCACCAGCTTGGGCTACATCTCCCTGTGCTTACCTCGGACGGCGCGATCTCAAACACGCCGGCGATCTTGGCGTAGAGCTCCTGGATGCTGGAGAACTCCTCCACTCGGCCCGTGGCGCTGCCGTGTGCCAATTGTGCGTGGAACACCAGCTTGCGTGCCGGAGCTGGGGGCCTGGGGACCTCCTCGTGGACGCTCGACCTCTCGCCCTCCACCAGCCGCGCCGTCTCCTTGAACTTGGCCGACTTCTTCTTCCCGCGCAGTCCAAGCGGCATCTTGCAGGGCCGATGGCGTGAACCACCTGTGCTGCCCGCGCCAGCTCGCTGGCCTCGGGCAACGGACTTTGAGCTCCGGCCCTGGGCTCGGTGCAGGTGACAGCGGCTGCTGGGCCAATGGCAGCAACGCTTCCGTCTGGAGGCGCAGGCTTCAGGCCCCCTCCCAGTAGAGGACAGGGCACCTGAGCGAAGCAGTCACGGCTCTCTGCAGCTCAGTCAGAAGGAAAGCTATGCAGGGCGGGTCAACTCCCTTCTCCGCCCAGGCCTCCTCTGATTTCTGTGAAGACCTGGGGATGCTTACAAAGAAACGAAAAAACTAGCATGTTGGCCCTGCCTTGCCTTTTATTATCTGGACTTTCAGCTAGATACAGTGGTTCGAGCCAGTAGCCCATGCTATTAAGGGTGGGGCTGGGTCAGTGCCACAAGTTTAAGGCCTGCCTTGGCTAGAGACTAAATGTCTCATAAATTATAATATTTGCAGGAAAATTAAAAGATGGAAAGAGGACATTATGTTATGCCCTCTACATTATGCAGATTCGGCCAAAGAAAAATGTTACATGTTTTTCTTTTCTCATACATAGAATCTATATGTGGGAGGGGGGGATGCAAGCTGAAAAGAAAATGTGAGAAGCGGGGACAGGGCACTGGAATACATATGACCTGAAAGTGATCAGTGGAGGAAGAGACGCAGGAACAAAGAGCGAGGGCCTGCGTGCAGGGAAACGCCACAAGGAAGCTCATAACTCTGTGGGCTAACTTTAAAGGGGAAATTGTAGTAGAGGTGGCATTTGGTCACATTCAGGTAATCACAGCCTGTGACTCTCTGTCTATAGGCATTCATATAGAAGTCACCCTTCCTCACCTGTGTAAGAAACTCACACAACCTTGAGAGTCTGTCAAGTTCAAACCTCTCAGCCAGGCCCTCAGCTCATCTCTTTGACCTGTTCATTTCGGAAAGAGGGCTTTCTCCCCTAGGTTTTCAACACTCCCAAGTTCATTGTTCCGCATGCTCAGAGAAACTCACTCCTGCTCTTCAGACGCGTGTGCCCTCAGCTCCCCATGCCTTGCCAGTAACTCTGTCCACCTCAGTCTCTAAGCTCTGAAGCAATCTTGCATCTCACCCCATTTGATTTCGACAATCAAGGCTCTCTTTAAAACCGTGTGTGAGAGAGAAAGCGCGTGCGCAAGCTCCTGCACACATCTGTCTGTATACTGCAAGTGTGTATATGGAGCTCAGAGAACAGTGCCAGTCCTCACCTGCCACCTTATTGAAGACAAGGTCTCTAGTCTGCTATGCGCACCACGGCATTTGACACGAGAGTTTCTGGGGTTTCTCCCTTCTCCACCTTCCACCGCACCACAGATGCGCTGGGACTGCAGACAAGCGGTCTACCGTGTCAGGCTTTCTAAGGGCTCTGCGGCTTCCTAGCTCTGTCCTCACACCGGCACAAGTACTTTACCCACGGCGCCATCTCCCCAGGCCAAGGCTGTCTACCTCTAAGGTACCTGCGGATTTCTTCCTCAGCCTCTGGGACCACAGACGGTCAGCGACACATTCTTCTCCCATCCTTGCTATTTCCGCCAGCGGTTGTACTTTTCCAAAGAAGCATTTGCTGAGAGCCTACCTGTGCAGCGGCTGTACTTTTCCAAAGAAGAATTTGCTGAGAGCCTACCTGTGCAGCGGCTGTACTTTTCCAAAGAAGCATTTGCTGAGAGCCTCCCTGTGAACACACTGCGCTCCCTGCACCTTCAGCCCGTGACATCACCTGGTTAATTACCCAGTTTGGTCTACCCACCAGGAGCTTTGAGGGATCCGAGCCGGTGTTTTCACACCTTGACTACGTCCCACCTCCACTTGTGCCGATTTGCCGCCTTCTTCGTGTTTCCCAGACTTATCCAACCGTTCTCTCGCATCCCTGTATTCTCCCCCAAATGATTGCAATAACTCAGATCAACAGATAGTGTCGGGCAAACCACGTGATCTGCAGTTCGGTCCGATAGGAAGGGTATGGTCTAAGGAAGCTCTAGGACTGTGTCCCACTCATCACATTCCTTCGAGTGCGTGTTTTCTTCCTTCATCCTCCACGAAAGGAGGGGTGTTTGTCTTGAAGCTACTGTGAAGAGGAGTTTTTCCCTGATTTCTTTCTCCACATCTTTGTCACTTATAAATAGAAAGGTTACCGGGTTTTGCATGTTGGCATCGTATCGTGCAGTTTGCTGAAACTGCTCATCAGGTCTGAGAGTCTCCTGGTGGAGTCTTTATGTTTCTATACCCTGACTTTTCCCATGCACACTGAATTGGTGACTCTAACTGGACAGTTCTCAACGGTAGAAAGCATTTCATGTTTCTTTTTAGTGTCCTGTTTACATTTTTATTGTGTTATATGTATAATAGGTACCCACAATTATAATTGAATAAATTAGATTTCCTTTTGATGAGGCCTAAGATGAACTAATAAAATGCAACTGGGAGTATCAGGCTAGGTATATGACTCAATGATAGAGTGCTAACCTAAATGCACAAGGCCTTCTGATCTCGGCACAGTTTTAAAAAAATGTATTAAGTTTTATTTTGCACCTAGGATTATAGTGCAGCTCAGAATGCCCATCTTTGTTTCTTCAGTTCACTAGCATTTGGCATTTCTAACAATACTAAAGTACCAACTGTAGAACCAAATATAAGTGAGTCATTAAAATTCTCAGATTACTATACTCCTATATCTGCTGAAAACAATATTATTTCATCTATAAGACACTATGTAGTCATTAAATGAATCATAAGATAAATTTACTAGTTGTCCCAGAAAATATAGCCTCTGGTTACATTAGTTTTGAAAAAACATGTATGGTCCCACCCTGCCTCACATACCCACTGTGGATGGATCCAGCAAGCAAATACTTAGGAAAAAATAAACACAGGATTTGTTAAATGCTATGCAGTTTTCCTCTACACTAAAGATAGCATGTTTTATAGTTGCATGGCAACAATGAGCAATCAAAGACAACAAGTAGAGGAAGAAATAACTCAGCTGAAATTCAAAATTTGCCAGGAATAATTGCAATAGCAAACTGAGACATGAAGGAAAGGGGAACAAAGTGATGGAGTATGAAGGATGAAGTCAGGAGCTCAATAAGCAAGTGCCTAGTGAGCCTACTGGGAGCTTGCTCTGCAACTGGCCTTGTTGTGGAATAGAGGATTTGTTTAGCCAAGTAAAGATGTGTTGCATTTGTTTGTGTTATAGAGTAATTGTTAGCTATGTAAAGATACATTGTATTTGTTAATGTTGCAATTGTTTAATTATATAAAATATGTTGCTTTTGTTTACGCTGCATTTGTTTAATTATGTAAATACATGCTGCTGTTTTACCTTGCCTGCCTAAGGCACCTGACTGGTCTAATAAAAAGCTGAATGGTCAGTAGCTAGACAGAGGAGGGATAGGCAGGGCTGTCAGGCAGAGAGAAAAGGGGAGATGGGCAGCCAGCCAGTGACCAGCCAGCAAGGGGTCATACAGACAGACACAGAGGAAACAGGAAAGCAGAAGAGGCAATATATAGACAAGGTAAATGAGCTTTAGGGAAGCACATACATTATTAGAAATGGGTTAATTTAAGTTAAAAAAAAACTAGCTAGAAACAAGCCTAGAGCTAAGGCCCAGCATTTACAATTACTAATAAGTCTCTGAGTCATGATTTGGGTCTGGCAGTCCAAAAACACCTGCTGCATGGCTTAGTGCTCAGAATTTCACATGCATCATCTCAACCATGGCTTTGTGCTGTGGAATATCAGTTAAAGTTGTGATACATTTGTTTATGCAGTGGAACATTTGTTTAATGATGCCAAGATATGTTGCATTCTTTTATGTTGCATTTGTTTAACTCTGCGAAACTATGTCACTTTGCCTGCCTAAAATACCTGATTAGTCTAATAAAGAGATAAACAGTCAATAACTAGACAAGAGAGCGATAGGTGGGGCTGCCAGGCAGAGAGAATAAATAGGAGAAAAAGAGAAGAGAGAGGAACAAGCAAAGAAGGAGAGTGGACATCAGGGGCCAGTTACTCAGCTACACATAAAACCATGGAGTAAGAAAGAAGTAAAGGAAGGTATATAAAATAGAGAAAGATAAAGTCCAGAGGCAAAAGTTGGATGGAGTGGTTTAAGAAAATCTGGCTAGAAATAAGCCAAGATAAGGCTAGGCATTCATAAGAAAGAATGTGTCTTTGGGATTATTTGGGAGCTGAGTGGCTATTGGCAGAATTTTCTGCCCTGTAAGCCACTCCCAAGTAACCACACAGAGGCTTAATAAGAGCTAAATAAGAGACCTACGTGTCAGACTCTGGAAGTTTGAACCAGTGATGGCTGACCAAGTCGAGTTGAACTGAGTTTCATTTTACCTCACCCAGATTGTTTCCCTGCCAACCATAAAGACTGCAGAGACTCCCGCACTAAAACACTGTGTAAACATGATGACTCAAATTTGTATCCCAGTACTCACAGGAAACCAGATGCAGTAGAACATGGTGTGATTCCAGTACACCTCCATCAAGACAGGAGGGATCTCCCAACAACAGGAGAATCCCAGGAACTTCACAGTGCAAATAGGTCCCTGGTCTCAAGCAATGTGAAAGGTGGGACCAGCATCAGAGGATGTCCTTTAACCTACACATATGTGCATGTGCTTACACATGCACGAGCTTGAGCGCGTGCACACACACGTGCACATGCGCACACACACATAGAGATAAATTACTTTCAGTGAAAAGAACTGATGATTCTAAACATAACATTTACAGGGGTTTTTAGTTTATTTTTTGATAAAGTCTCATGTATACCAGGCTGGCTTCAAGGTGACTATATAGCTGAGGGTGACCTCAAAATTCTGATCAACCTACCTCCATCTCCCAAAAACTGGGATTTCAGGCATAAACCATGTCTAGTACATGTGGTGGTGGAGATTAAAGCCTGGGCTTCATAAATCCTAAGCAAGCACTGTCCACCGAGCTATATCACTGGCCCCACTGCAGTGGATTTTGAGGACAAGATACAGTCATGACAGAAAAAAGAAAGACATATCTTGAGAGAGCAGAAGTTTTCAGCAATTCTATCATAATTTTTAAATCGTGAAATCTGAGGGTAGTTATAGAACA